TTTTCTCTCTCTGTTGGACTTTGTTTGTCTGTTCTGTACCTTGTGCCTTAATGTTGCTTACACTATGTGTGTATGTACTGTATAGTGTGTATGCATATATATATATATATATGTATATATATATATAGATTTTTTATTTTTATTTTGTATTATGATGATTAATTGATGTTTTGTAAGGACCCCCTTGAAAATGAGATGATGCATCTCAAGGGGCTATCCTTGAAATAAATTACAAATTACAAACGCTCCTGCTGGCCCTCTGCTGGCCCTCTGCTGGCCCTCTGCTGGCCCCCAGCTGGCCCTCTGCTGGCCCTCTGCTGGCCCTCTGCTGGCCCTCTGCTGGCCCTCTGCTGGCCCCAGCTGGCCCTCTGCTGGCCCTCTGCTGGCCCCCAGCTGGCCCTCTGCTGGCACTCTGCTGGCACTCTGCTGGCCCTCTGCTGGCACTCTGCTGGCCCTCTGCTGGCCCTCTGCTGGCCCTCTGCTGGCACTCTGCTGGCCCTCTGCTGGCCCTCTGCTGGCACTCTGCTGGCCCTCTGCTGGCCCTCTGCTGGCCCTCTGCTGGCACTCTGCTGGCACTCTGCTGGCACTCTGCTGGCCCTCTGCTGGCCCTCTGCTGGCACTCTGCTGGCCCTCTGCTGGCACTCTGCTGGCCCTCTGCTGGCCCTCTGCTGGCACTCTGATGCCAACTCATCATAAAACATCTCAAAATAAACAGGCAGCAAAGAAAATGTAGAGAGCACATTCATGTTCCCCAGAGTATTACCCCTCCCCCCCCTTCATTTTAAGGACAGATTGATTGTTCCTGAAACACTCTGCTTGCTGAGCGTCATGTGTGAACACAAACAGCTGAATGTCTGTCTCTTCACCCGGAGTTTCTCCTCCAACACTAACTCTGTGATCGCTGCACCACCATAGGCTGTCTTCACCAAGCAGCAACATCCAGTGTTGAAACATGAAGCTGATGCTGAGGTGTAAAATCCTGCAGTTCCTGGAGTGTCCACTAGAGGCTGGCTGCAGAAGCACAGGAAGTCACATACACACCCATTCTAAAAAGCCTGTTTTTTCCACATTCACAGTCAGACATGCACACACACACACACAGCGCTGTCCTCCACCACTGGATCAGCTGATCCCATCTCTCCTCTGTCACTACCTCTGAAGATGGGATGGGGGGGGGGGGGGGGGTGTCACTTCATTCCCACATGCCTCCACGACATTCATACTGAAGTTGAAACACAGGGCGTAAATATCATGGCTTGAAACGGCACTCTAAGTGTGGTCAATCCAACATCAGACTTTTGCTCTCCTGACGTCTCCCCGTCTGAGCTGAAGGTCGGAGGTCAAAAAACCTTTTTACTCACAATCAAATCGTTTACTGATCGGAGCCTTCGTCCAGCCGCTGCGTCTGCAGGTTTCTCGTTTTCTGAGGACGAACAGAAGACACTCAAAATCTTTAGAAATCATTGACGCCTTTAAAACCACAACCTGAAAAAACAAACTAAACCAGTCTTCTGGAGACAAAGAGCATCATCACTTCAGCCTCCAGGAGCTGCAGAGCTTTAGTGTTTGTTTAGACACAGTGGCGTCCCGCAGGGAGGACGCCACACAAGCCGTAAATGTGTTTTTCATGCTCTGAGCTCCACAGAACGAGGAGGACAGAGTGCTGAGGGGTTAGTCGAGGTCGTCTGCCTGCAGGAGAGCCGAGCACTTAGACGTCCAGTCAGACCTGAAGGAGCACGCCGAGCTCGTCCAGCGTGTTTAGACGGACAACATTTACACTTTGTGTAAGCTGCTACATGCCTTCTCTTTAAAGGTGGAGCGGAGCGCTCGCTGCAGGAACAGCTCCATCGACCACATCGTGAGGTTTATGATTTTTTATCATCAGAGTTTCTCCTCAGGAACTGGAACTTAATGAAACCATGACTTTATGTAAGGTGTCCACATAAATAACTACAGATTCATTAAAGGAGTCAGCAGCTTGTTCCTTCAAAATAAAATACAGACGTATGTAGGGACCTTCAAAATAAAATGCAGTTTTAAGCTGGTGTGTTTCCTCCAGCCAAAGACAGCGCAGCAGGTGAGTTTAGGAGTGGATACTATTCAGTGATTGGACGAGATTCAAACTGGTGAATATGACGGACGTGGACGTAGCAGCGTGCAGGTGGCACCCTGACATTCCCAACTTATGATAAAGGACAAGCCAATAATGAGTACTGTACCAAACCGGACTGAACCGGACTGAACCGGACTGAACCGGACCGCTTGGTGGAAACGCGGCTCTGTCAGGACGGCTGAATGAAGGACTTTTGTTAAGGTTTCACTCAAATAATACAGAAAAAGTAAACTGTTCCCATTATCCCCTTCCTTTTATCTGTGACTCTGATAAGGGTCTTTTTCATTCAGATGTAAAATCTCTGTTATTCTTCTGTGGTCTGCTCCACAGATCCCAACTGTTGATATGTGGATTTCACAAATCGCAGCCTTACTCCCTTTGACTCATGACCTCAGTCATAAAACTGAAGAATGCTGGAGACTGTGGAAGGATTCTTTCCTTCAGAGACTCTGAAGCAGACAACCTGCAAGACACTGTGGAACTTCAACTGCAAACCTGTCTGTGCTACTCATTTATTTTCTGCTTCATTCACACTGTTACTATTTCTGTGTGAATACTCGTCTATATCTATGTATACAAATATTTTTTTTTCTCTGTGATATTTCTGATGTCTTTGTAAACATTATTCTCAGCATCTGTTAGTTTGAGTTTTGTTTAGTTTATTTTCAGTTTTGTTCTTATTGTTTGTTTCCCCTCTAAATTTAAAAACTCAATCAATTAAAATAATAATAATAATACAGAAAAAAACAGGAAATGACATCAGAAGAAGGAATAACCACCAGAGCAGATCATGACACTAGTGCTGTTTTTCTAGGGCGAGTAGAGGGAGAGGGCGCCCTCTAGTGGAGAAACAGCTAAACAGCTCTAAAGCATATTACAGTTTCTCTTATTTTGTTCAAACAGGAAAGAGAAAGTTCTTCAAACTTAAAGCTCCTGTTTGAACTCTGAGACTCACATGTAGCACTTGACCTTTTACAGTCAGTATTAAATCACACCAGGGATTCGTCCAGAAAATTAACCTAATTAGTTTAAACTATGAATTAAATAAACCCAAAAATTAATACATTTAACCCAACACAGCTTATCCCAGTACTTATTTTATATTTGTTTGTGAAATCCCCAAAAATAATGTAACCCCACACGGAGCGTTGCGTCACCAAACAATTTAATTATAACAAAAATATCCCTTTAAGTAATCCCTTTATAACTCCAAAATAAACTAAAAGTCCCCAACAAACAAAGTATACATTAAGAACCCCGAAAATTAGATTGAATTGTCTTTTTATCTCTTTTTAAAGTCCAACGAAAATAACCCACCGATGTGGCTGTTCGCTCCTCCGAAACGTTTTTCTCATAAAAAAAGTAATCCAACAAAAATTGAACCGGTCGCTGGTATACCTGAACGAAAAAATAAACGAGCTCACCAAAATCCAGGCAGAAAGAATAATCCGGTCAGTCGGACCTCCATTGTTCCAGCCCGACCTCACGTATCTGAACGCGGGGGGGCTAACCACTGTACCACCCTGCAGCCCTCATTCCTCCATTCATACCCTGAATAATGTCTCAAAGAGACAAACAGTGTTGAATAAAGTTTCTCAGATTAATAAAGAGACAAACAGTGTTGAATAAAGTTTCTCAGATTAATAAAGAGACAAACACAGTTTCTGTTTTAAATCATTGCACAAATGTTTTTATGAAAAGTGAAGTAGACACGAGATGGTTATGTGTTCGACAGGATATAGAAGCAATAACTACGTGAGTAAATAAACGTTTACATGAAGATGAATAGTTGAGATTTTTTTGTCTTTTTGTTGCTATGGTTACAGAAATATGGCTCTCATGAAGGCACACGTTAGCTTGAACACATGGACGCGGCGGTGAGTCGAACGTCCTGCTCCAGGTCGGTTCTCTCGTGTGTGACCGAGAGGACCGAGTGTCCGAGCGGCGTGTTATAGGCGGGTCGTCCGTCAGCGCCCACGGTCTGTTTAAAAGAGGTGACCGATGAGAGCGCCACATCCACATACTCTGACCAAACGACCCTGGCCACGCCCCCTTTCTGAGTGAAAATGTTCCGTCTTAAATGAACAATCGGAGGAACACGATGACTTTACTGAACATCAGAAAGTTATAAAAACACGTTTAAAGACGTTCATTCAGCCTCTCGCCGTTTAACTGGACCATCGAGCGCTCTCATCACTCAACAAGACCAATCAGAACGCAGCACACAGAAGAGTCCCGGACCGTCTGATCAAACGTTTTCAAAATAAAGCGATGAGGTGAAATACTGAGTGAAGCTGCCGTGGTCACGCTGCTCTCTGTGATGTCACAAACATCAGCTGGTTAAAGGAGCCCGAGCCGCCCGAGAGGCACGCATGGAAACACAGCGGAGTAGATATGATCACTCCATTTTTAAAACGAGAGAAACGTTTCCATCTCTACTGAGACATAGTAGGCATAGCGAGAGGTCAACGCTAAAGAGAGAGATTCAAGATGGCGTCACGCTCTTTAAAGGCACTCAGGAATAAAACGTCCCACAGACATGACGAGCTGCTCTGGATCAGTGTAAGAGTGTAAGTTCTAGAAACACCAGCTCTATAATTTAACCCTCAGGTATCAGTTTCATTTACAACCCTCTTCAGTCACTAAGGACAAAAATGTCCACTTTCAAAAAAATATTATTCAAAAAAATATTGAATAATTATCAGGAATTTAACCCTTTAAATGCCAGTTTGATTACATGATTCTGGCATTTAAAGGGTTAAATTCCTAAAAATGATTGAATGTTTGGTAGTTTTGAGCAGGGCTGAAGTTGTTTAAGAGATTTATGCAGAAAAAAGTAGAAAAAAAAATCAATCTGTTCTATTTTTATATCAGCTTTTTGGAAGTGGATATTTTTGTCCTTAGTGACTTCAGAGGGGAATAAACATGTTTCAGTGTTCTATTGATCTACTAAAAAAAATGTGCATACCAAAATTTGTCAAGAGAGAAACTTTCTTACAATAAATGTGTTCCATATGCACTAACAGACAAAATGATGAGCAGATGAAGAGGAAACATTTGACCAAATGGACAGAAATGTCCATCATGATGCCTGAGGGTTAAAGATGTTTTTTTATAACCAGCTGTGTAAACGTGTTCTGTTTGGACGGCTCAGGTAAAATAACATCTGGATTAAAGATCGACCTCCAGCTGTGAATAACCAGCGACTGGAGGTCAGCCTACAGCCCGGCGCAGTATGAAGAACATCTTGGCACTGAAGAGACGTTTAGCAGAAGGTGTTCCTCAGAGCTCTTATCTAAGATTTCATTTGTTTGTTTTTTTAACTTTAGCAGCTGGAGTAAAGAGATGCATTTCTATGTTTGTTATTAAAATCTGAACAGTCTTTGGTCTACGTCTCAGAAAGTCTCCCGTCCCATTCAGGAGAGCCGTTACCCCCCTCCCCCCCAAAAAAACCCTCCACACCATGTGGAGCCGGTTCAGGACCACTAAGATCAGCGTCCTCTTCCTGGACTCAGCAGGAGAGAGAGATGAAGACTGAAACATGCTCCAGCTGCAACAGGAACACTTGAGGGGGCGTGGCTAAATCAGAAAGGAGAGAAAACGCGTGTCGGCCTAATGGCGTCGGTCAGGGCGTTTGGTAGCATGCAGGAGGTCGACCTTTAAGGAGCATGGGGGGATGGTCTAAGATTTTCTCAGATTCTGGTTCTAAGTTCTGATGTCTTCTGAAACATTTCCTCTGAGTGACTCTGGTTAAAACATTTATCACGAGCTGATAAGATTTACGGGTGTTTGCGGCGTCATTACGTTACATTTATAAACAGGAAACAGCGAGAAGGACTTCCTGTTTCATCTCTGAGTAACTTTAAACATGTCTCGACCTCTTTTCTTTACACAGACTTTTATAAACGCTTCGAGAGAGCGTCTCCACTCTTCAGCTTTTTAGTTGACTTGGTCAATAATCGGCTGAATTCGGCGAGTTTCCCTTTAGAACGAGTTTCTTTGGCTTTTTGGATGAGCGACCGTCTCTCAGCTGGCTCTCGCTCCGTCCTGGTAAATGCACTTGTGGCTTTTTTTACTTCATTATGAATAAAGTGAATCTTTAAAACAACAACAACAACAACAACAACAACAACAACAACAACAGGACGAAATACAAACGGATATAAAATGACCACGAGTGGGGGCGCCCGTGATGAAGCTCTGATACAGGCGATTATACTGTTTGTCTTTTTCTGTCTTCTGCACTTCCTCTGGATGCGTTGCTATAGAAACGAGACTTCACTGCGGCGGGTACACGGCCACGTCTCGAGCGAGACATAGAAGCCCGTGGCGTCCAGCGGCAAGTCGTTCATCCTGCTGAAGAGAGCAGAGAGGACAGAAGGGGTTAACAGAGTTCTTCTTCTGATGGATATTAAAGGATTTCTAGGAGAAGTTGTTCAACTCACAGTGGAACATGTTGACTTGTGCCGGTCTGTGGCGGTCCAGGTAGTGCTGAATGTTGAGCGCGCGCTCGGAGGACGACGACGTGTTGGGCGGCGCCGTCAGTGGGCTGATGTCGACGCTCTTCTGGTCGATGGCGGACGTTCCCACCACCGGCTCGCTGTGGCTCCACTGGAAGTAGCAGGAGCCCTGTGGAGGACTCTGATCCAGAGTCCCGTCGACCCCCCTCAGGCCTGCAGACCCGGCGAGAGACAGGGCGGCGCCCCCTGCTGGACTGGAGGAAAAGTTCTGGTTGAACATGCAGCTGCTTTGAGCGGCCGCCTGTCCGCATGCTAGCCCCCCCTGCTGAACATGGCTCAGTCCTGCACCCCCCCTCTGCCAGAGTCCAGCATGTGGGAGGGTCTCTGGAGTCTGGCTGTGGCACGCCGCCATCTGCTCGTGTGCCTTCTGCATGACGCTGACGCCAAGGTGAGTCTGCTGCTGCGGCCACTGCTGGACCTGCTGGACCTGCTGGACCTGCTGGCTGAGGGGTCCCAGAGGGGGGCTTCCCTGGAGACACCCTGTGGTGAACGAGAGGGGGATTTTAGGGGTGGAGTTGAAGTCATTGCATGGGATCAGGGGGGGCATGGCGTCTGTTACACTGGGCGCTACACGGGTCGGGGGCTTCAGCGAGCTCTGCAGGAAGAGTCTGTTTGGTGGATTCTGAAAACCGTTCTGAGGAGACGGGAGAACGCCGTGAGAGAAGTTCATGAGGCCGTTAGAGGCCGGCCCACAGGACTGAAAGGGGGCGGAGGGATCAGGAAGCGTGAGCTCCGGGAGCTCGATGGACGGGCTGTAGATATCGTGGAGCTGCAGAGCCTGAAGGGGGGGCGGGGAGGCGGCGTCGGAGCGAGGGGGGGCCGAGGTGGGAGAGTCTCTGAGTGTTTACATCCTGATGGTGAGCGTAGGCGCCGCTCAGGGGGTCGTAAGTGTGATCGGGACTCTGCGCCTGAAACAACAGCGGGTCACAGAGTCCACCAGAGACCTCGGGGAAGAGATCCCGCTGGTGGTCGTTGTTGGCGGAGAGGCAGGCGGGAGGAACGCCGCTCAGACACTCCTCCCCCTTCTCCTTGAACAGAACGTTATCGATGTAGTCAAAGATGTCGTTAGTGAGGATGCTGTCCAGCTCCGAGCTCATGTTGTTCTGCTGGAGATCCTCCTGACTCAAACCCTTCAGGGTGTTCTCCAGCTCCATAAGCTCCGCCTCCTCCATGTCCAGATTCTGCATCACCTCACAGAAAGCGTTGTTCTGCGCCATTTTTTCCAGGTTGTCGATCACCGCCATGACGGACTGTTTGGCCTCCTCCTTCACCACCACGGGGTTCTCCGTGCTGGCGACTGGCCTGCTGTCCCGCCAGCCGTCACTGGGGACGCTGACCAGCGCGTGGGTGTCCATGAACACCTGATCCACAGGGACGGGCGGGTCGATGGTCTCGGAGTAGGCCGCCTCGTCCTGTCTCAGGAAGCAGTCCAGCAGGGAGCTGGGGGCGCCCTCTTTGCTCACGTCGTCACTGCCAAACATTTGGTTGAACTGGAACTCCTTGATGTCCATGGTGGCGCCGGTGTTGTAGAAGAGCGCCTCCCCCGTGGTGAAGCTGAACGGGAGCTGCAGCCGCCGCTGACGCAGATACTCCTCCCCCTCAGCGTTCCTGAAACACACCAGGAGAAAGAGACTTAGTGTAGACCCTGATCAGGTTTCATGACACTCACAGGTCAAACACTCACATGATGGCTTTCTGATACGCGATGATGAACTCTGGTCGACCTCCTTTGAAGATCAGCTTGGCGTTCGACTTCACCCAAACCCAACCACCGGTTTTACTGAGGAGCCGAAACACGGTCAAACCGCTCTCTCCTGTTTTAATCACTGAGAAACAAAAATCAATCAACAGAGAAGTTAGGGATAAGATAGGGAGGATGTGTAACTCACTGCGTAAGAGAGGGAGGGGGGAGAGAGGGGGGGAATGTGAACTCACTGCGGATGTGATTGTCTGCGCAGTGCATCATGTCAGCTGCGTGGATGAACTGATACCCAGAACCTTTCATACACAGTTCAGTCTCTGAATATCCCAGAATAACCTTCCCCCTAAAGAGAGAGAGAGAGGGGGGGAGAGAGAGAGAGGGAGAGACAGAGAGAGAGAGAGAGAGAGAGAGAGGGGGAGGAGGAGTAAACTTGAGTAAACGAGGAGAAGTGGATGAAGTTTCATTGTGAGGTGAATCATCTGGACTTTTGGAAGATAAAAACCGTGTGTTTGGAGGTTTTGGACTTTAAATGGGAGACTTTTAAAGACACCTGCTGTCGATGCTCATCGGGGTGAAGTCCAGCTTGTGTTTGCTCTGAAAGAGGAGCGTCTTAGTCCGGATCTCCACGATGGACGGAGTGTGGACCGGCATGGCGATGGCGAACAGCGCCAGCTGAGCTTTGGTACACGCCCCCTTTAAAAGCCTCTGACCTTGGAGGTACTTCAGACGGCCCTGGAACTTCAGAGCCTGGATCAGAGAGAGACATGTAGTCATGATATGGACTGCTGCGACTCTCCTTCCTGATAAATGTTTCTAATAAATGTTTTCTAACCAGAAATCCAGACGAGTTGTCGAGCAGGCAGCGGAAACGACACACGAAGCTCCTCTCCAGGAAGGACGAGTTCTCGGGGGGCAGCTTCTCTGGACTGTAGAGGACTTTAAAGGACTCTGAAAACATGAAGGACACACCTCCACCTGTCAGAACCTAAACCAGGAAGTCATGATGCACCGCGTTAATCTTCTCTCTTAAGGAGCTCAGGGTCAGTTCTCACCGTCTCCATCGGCGGCGGTCGGGGGATTGAGGGCGAAGTGAAGCTGCTGTCTGAACACGGCGCGGTCGTCCGTGTGGATGAGCTCGAACACGCTCTGATGGACCACGTCCGACTGAACACAACACAAATGTTTACAAACAAGTCAATGCAGGGTCCAATCGTCTGTCAGCGTGATGATGCAACAGAAAGGAATGAAATAAAAACATGACAACATGGAACAGTACCAGCTTTTGTCTGCAGGGGGCGCTCCTTAGAGCGTCTCCCCAGCGTCTCTCACCTGATGGAAGCCCAGGTAGTCCTTGATGGTAGAAGAGGAGTAGAACACCGACCCATCAGAGGTGACCACCAGGACGAAGCCGTTCAGAGCCTGCAGAGACCAGAGACTGTCAGCAGGACTCACAGAAGTCTGTATTAACCAATCAGAGCCTGCAGAGACCAGAGACTGTCAGCAGGACTCACAGAAGTCTGTATTAACCAATCAGAGCCTGCAGAGACCAGAGACTGTCAGCAGGACTCACAGAAGTCTGTATTAACCAATCAGAGCCAGCAGAGACCAGAGACAGTCAGCAGGACTCACAGAAGTCTGTATTAACCAATCAGAGCCTGCAGAGACCAGAGACAGTCAGCAGGACTAGAGAAGTCTGTATTAACCAATCAGAGCCTGCAGAGACCAGAGACAGTCAGCAGGACTCACAGAAGTCTGTATTAACCAATCAGAGCCTGCAGAAACCAGAGACAGTCAGCAGGACTAGAAGTCTGTATTAACCAATCAGAGCCTGCAGAGACCAGAGACTGTCAGCAGGACTCACAGAAGTCTGTATTAACCAATCAGAGCCTGCAGAAACCAGAGACAGTCAGCAGGACTCACAGAAGTCTGTATTAACCAATCAGAGCCTGCAGAGACCAGAGACAGTCAGCAGGACTCACAGAAGTCTGTATTAACCAATCAGAGCCTGCAGAAACCAGAGACAGTCAGCAGGACTAGAGAAGTCTGTATTAACCAATCAGAGCCTGCAGAGACCAGAGACAGTCAGCAGGACTCACAGAAGTCTGTATTAACCAATCACAGCCTGCAGAGACCAGAGACTGTCAGCAGGACTCATAGAAGTCTGTATTAACCAATCAGAGCCTGCAGAGACCAGAGACTGTCAGCAGGACTAGAGAAGTCTGTATTAACCAATCAGAGCCTGCAGAGACCAGAGACAGTCAGCAGGACTCACAGAAGTCTGTATTAACCAATCAGAGCCTGTTGTGATGATTAAGCAACACAAAGTGTGAAGATGTCGCTGACAGGTGACGGTCTATAAACCCGGTGCAGAGACCTCGACAGGTCCAGGTTTTGTTAAGATCCACAGAGCGTGTCCAGGTGTTGGCAGGGCGCTCTGAGACGAGCAGCCTCACCTGTCATAACTTCCTCCTGAGCAGAGAGAGGATTAACTCAAACACAACACCACAAATAAACAGCGTCTGACAGCGCTGCACCTGTGAGCGTCAGGGCGTCGGCTCACAGGCCGTGAGACTTTTCACACTTTCAGCTCCAAGTTATTAAAGTGTGTGAACACTAACGCTCTGAAGCAGGTGGTGTGTGTTGTGTGTGAGTGACATCACTTCCTTCTTTCCGTCTGTGATGCTGGTCGTTAGCTCTCTGACCATGCAGCCTTTATTTCTATAAAGTCCTCAGCATGGTGTGATAATAATAACTTTATTTAAAAACACAGGTTTACAACCATCATAAGAACCATCATAAGAACCAACACAAGAACCATCATAAGAACCCAGGAAACACAAGAACCATCATAAGAACCCAGGAAACACAAGAACCATCATAAGAACCATCATAAGAACCATCACAAGAACCATCATAAGAACCATCACAAGAACCATCATAAGAACCATCACAAGAACCATCATAAGAACCCAGGAAACACAAGAACCATCACAAGAACCATCACAAGAACCATCACAAGAACCATCATAAGAACCATCATAAGAACCCAGGAAACACAAGAACCATCATAAGAACCCAGGAAACACAAGAACCATCATAAGAACCATCATAAGAACCATCACAAGAACCATCATAAGAACCATCACAAGAACCATCATAAGAACCCAGGAAACACAAGAACCATCACAAGAACCATCACAAGAACCATCACAAGAACCATCATAAGAACCATCACAAGAACCATCATAAGAACCATCATAAGAACTATCATAAGAACCATCACAAGAACCATCATAAGAACCATCACAAGAACCATCATAAGAACCATCATAAGAACCCAGGAAACACAAGAAGCATCACAAGAACCATCATAAGAACCATCACAAGAACCATCACAAGAACCATCACAAGAACCATCATAAGAACCATCACAAGAACCCAGGAAACACAAGAAGCATCACAAGAACCATCATAAGAACCATCACAAGAACCATCACAAGAACCATCACAAGAACCATCATAAGAACCATCACAAGAACCATCATAAGAACCATCACAAGAACCATCATAAGAACCCAGGCAACACAAGAACCATCATAAGAACCATCATAAGAACTATCATAAGAACCATCACAAGAACCATCATAAGAACCATCACAAGAACTCAGGAAACACAAGAACCATCACAAGAACCATCATAAGAACCATCACAAGAACCATCACAAGAACCATCACAAGAACCATCATAAGAACCATCACAAGAACCATCATAAGAACCATCACAAGAACCATCATAAGAACCCAGGCAAACACAAGAACCATCATAAGAACCATCATAAGAACCATCATAAGAACCATCACAAGAACCATCATAAGAACCATCATAAGAACCATCACAAGAACCATCATAAGAACCATCACAAGAACCATCATAAGAACCATCACAAGAACCATCATAAGAACCATCACAAGAACCATCATAAGAAGCCAGGCAACACAAGAACCATCACAAGAACCATCATAAGAACCCAGGCAACACAAGAACCATCACAAGAACCATCATAAGAACCTAGGAAACACAAGAACC